GGGGGGTAATCTTTCATATGCAGAGGATATGCTTGTTGGAATTGATGTTTAGGCAGTTCTTTGTTTTTGTTGTTGTTGACAAGGGAAATTGCTGCTGTTATCCTTTGGATGTGCACAAGGTAAACCCCACTCCTATGCAATAGCCTGCAAACCGCACAAGAGAAGTAAACCACATTAGGCAAGCCATGTCCGACCCAAAAGAAAACCCCCTTGCTGTCGCAAGCAAAGGATTTCGAACTTGTGACCTCCATTATGGAAGTCCCAAGCCAAACCATCTTACCCAACCCGAAGGGTAGATGTTTAGGCAGTTCTTTATTAGTGGGATTTGCCAATCTTCTCTTGGAAGCTCTGTATTAGCGGGCAGGTCATGTCAGTAGACTTGGAAGAATAGAACACAGATCCAAGGCAATAGTACAAATGAAAATTTTGATAATATTCAATGTAAGTGGCACTCTAAGAATTGAAATAAGGTTGGCTGTTTGGAACAATTTGAACATTCTTTATATAGGGTCCAAATCACTCATTTGGTAATCAAATACAGCAGCAACACACCCTGTGTAATCCCACAAGTGGGGTTTGTGGAGGGGGTAGTGTGTACGCAGACTTTACCCCCTTAGCTTGGGAGGTGGAGAGGTTGTTTCCGATAAATCATCAGCTCACGTCTTTTGGTAATCATATAGATTGATAAACATAAAGAAGTGATGGAAGACAGGAACCTGAAACAAAAATGCATGTTTATTAAGTGGTGATAGTTATTTTTATTTTTACCACTTAAAATAATGAGCTTTTCACTTATGTATATCCTTATTTTTTATTTTATTGAAATGGTAAGTAATATTGATATAGCACAAAGATTGTGCCTGAATCCTATAGAACAGCTGCCACACTAATAGGTGGTTGATAGTCTTTATGCTTCCATCACATATAACATATCTTGCAGAACCGTTAGCCTCTCCTTTTGCAAATTATCTTGTGAATAAGACATGCTCCTTTGGACACCAACCACATAAAACACAACCTTGTAGAAGAATTGGAACTTACAAATAGTATCCATCTGAGAAGGACAGGGAAGAACAGTTACGGACGCATAATGGCATTTGGCAACAATCTGGAGAAAAGGCAAATCCACCTTTTTAGATATTCAATCATCAAGGATCTTAAGTCTTGTTAAGCTTAAAATGTGTCTCAGTATCATTATTTTTGTTTTAAATTGTTTCTTTCCTTTTCGGATGAATTAAAGTCTATTAGGCAGGTTCTATCATCTTATTTGTACCCATTTTTAGATGTTGGTTTCCTTTGTATGTGCTAAAGTTTAGTAATTGCGGTTGCTGTATTCTGCAGCTCTCGGTTCAACTTTCTTAGTGATGTTGAATGACATGATTGTTCAGTTTCCACTGTGTTTATACTAACCAGGCAAGTTAAGGGTTCTTCAAATTGTGGGAATTTCCTAGTTTGGTGATTGGAAATTCAGTAGTTGTGTATTTGATGTCATATCCAATTCAGATCTTCTAAGCAGATTTTAAGAGCGAAAATTACCAAATACTGGACAATTTTTTCTCCTTATCGTGTAGCTATAGATGTCCACTGAGAATCTTATTAGCGGCAAACGGCTATGTGATTCTCATATGTGCTCTTTTTATTTTTCCCTTTCCAATAACAGATCTGTAAAATCCCCTGGATTCATGAAGTATTTATGGAAGGTGTTCTTGCTTTAAAGACTGCAATTCATTGATTTTACGAGGAGTTGGATGATTATTGTCTGTGTGCTACGTGCAGATAATTTGGTGATTACTTACCTTTGTGTTTTTGTTTATTTTCTGCAGATTCCCATTGGCATTGTATGATGCCACCTGAGAGAAGAAAGAGTGGTCGTCAAAGGTTACCTATTGATCGACTTAGCAACCTTCCAAAGAATGTTATCAATTCCATCCTGATGCGTTTGCCTTTGCAAGATGCTGTAATGACAAGCATCTTATCGAAGAAATGGAGGTATAAATGGTGCAGACTTCCACAGTTGACACTTGATGATGACCTTTGGGAGGAGACACATGACTTACTATCCCCTTCTATTAAGTTTACAAAAATTATGTACCAGATTTTGACCCTTCATTCAGGACCACTTACTAAGTTTACCCTCTCCATTTCTGCACTGAGAAAGTATCTTAAGATTAACAGTTTGATATATTTCCTCTCTAGGAATGACATTCAGGATCTTGTTCTTAAATTTTCGGAGTGGAACCGATACAGATTGCCGCCTTCATTTTTCACGTGTTCTCAGTTGAGGCATTTGACTCTCCAAAATTGTGTAATATGCCCTCCACCAGCCTTCAAAGGATTTGATATGTTAAATAGCCTGAACCTGTGTGATGTGACTATTTCTTCCAAATTACTAGAAAGTTTAATCTCTTATAGCCCCTTGCTAGAGAAGTTGGTGTTGAAAATCTCAGATACTTCAGACCACCTTCAAATTAACGCTCCCAATTTGAGATCCTTCGACTTCACAGGCTGCATAAAATATATTTCTTTAAGGAGTGTTCCTCTTCTTTCTAAACTTTCTCTTCCATGTCAAAAATCTATTGAGGAATCAGAAAAATGTGATTTTGACAAATTTTTTCAGTTACTCTCTGCTCTTGAGCATCTCTACTTGGCAAATGGAAGTGACCAGGTAAATGTTACTTCACACCTTCACTGTAATGCGTTTCCATAGAAGTACCATCCTTTGGAATTTGAGTCATCCTGATTTTTCACTTTCTTTGTAGTTCTTGGTTACAGGTGCAGCTGAAGTCCCAAGAAGACTTTCCTCTCCTCTTAACTATCTTAAACGTTTTAACATAACTCTGTGGAGATTAGCTGATTTTTCCATTGCTCTTTGCTTGATACGAAGCTCCCCGTACATACAAGATATTGAAATGGAGGTTAGTAGTGATGTTTATATTTTTCTTTTTTCTTCTGTATGTGTTATTCACATGTAGTGATGACTTCCTTAATTTCACACTCATTAGATCTTCAATCTTCTCTATCTTTCTTAGGTATATTGCTCGAGGGATTATTTATCAGAAAAACTTGAGGCCTCTAATGAAGTTGATGAAGTTCTCGCAAGTTTCTCAGATGTGACATTGAATCACCTTAGGACAGTTCAGCTTGAAGGAGTAGAAGGCATAAAGCTCGAATTGCAGCTTATCAAGCTTCTATTGACCAAATCTCCGATGCTGGTGAAAATGCTAATTGATCCATCGAGTGGTGATAACTATGATGCAAGAAGAGACAAGATACTAGCAGCAACAACAGTTCAGCGGGCATCAAGTAAAGCTAATGTGGTTGTATCTGATAAGTATGAATATTATCGAGACACGACCCCATAGTATCTGCTTGTTTTTTGCCTGATCGATGGAGAGAGTTGAAATTCGAATTTCTTGTTTGTAATCATTACAGTGCTAAGGGTTTACATTTCATTCCTTTTCTTGAATGATCCATGAAATGAAACCTGGATATGAACCTACACTATGGTTGTTTATTTTCAAAGAACTGTGATTTATTGTGATATCCTTTTGGTATTTACCATAATCAGTGTTATGTTTCTTTTCTTAATCATAGAGATGTCTGAATGACTAAAAAGTTCAACAGTGTCCTTTTTTAAGGCTGATCTTTATATTTTGTATCCCGCAAATAAGGTTTGTGTACGTATTATCCTCTCCGAACCTTGAGTGAGAGTACATGTATGTTGTTGTTTCATATACATTTGTATATATAGTTGCTTGCGTTACAAGCGGTGGGGAAAAAGAAGTAAAAGTGAAATGATTAGAGAACTTTTGAGCGTTGTTGAGGAGAGGTAAAGGTTAACCTAAGAAGTATTGAGATGATGTGATTAGGTAAGACGTGATGCAACTTCAACTTGCCAAGAATATGATCCTTGATAGGAGGGTGCAAAGGTCGAGAATTATGGATGTTTCTTATTCCTTTCATTGAGTTCAATATTATTGTTTTCTTTCCCTTGTTTTTAGATTTATATTTTTACATGTTGTTTCCCTTTGATATCTAATTATTTTGTAGTTGTTTTTGTTTGTTGCTATTGTCTCTTTTTCATTATTTGTTCATTTGAGGATTTTTCAAAAATAGTTTCACTATCTTTTCAAAGGTAGGGGTAATGTCTGCGTTTACTATACGTTGACGCCACCTGTGCGATTACACTAGCACCTTGTTTGGATGGTTGTTACTTGTTGTATTGTATTGTTAGTCTAAATACAACGTTTGTTTTTATTCTTACTTAAATTCCATTGCATAGTATCATTTAAATCCATCATTAGGTAACGACGAAAAGACTCAATTTGTGTAAAGATCGATTTGGTGTGAACGCGTCGTTACTTTAATATTTTCTTCTTATTTTATCTTTACTTATTATTTAATAATTCTATTTTATCATTTAGATTATGAAAATCTGTGACATTATGTAACGATAGAGAACGATACAATCTATACAAATGCTATATTCATTAAAATAATACGATACATTACGAAATAATACATAACAAATCAAGTGTAGGTGTGTTTTTGTTTGAACTTAAAAATTGGGGTTATTTTATGCAAATATAAAACATGAGGACATTTTAGTGTTTTTTCCTTTCTTTTCTCCAAAAAAAAAACACACACTATAATTCACTCTTATGGCTTTTTCGCCAAATCCTCTCTCCGACTGTGGGGGTGATGAACAAACCCTAGATTGAAATTGAAGATTTGAAGAATCCATACATTCAAAGCACTTTAAAGGGTATTGAAATCTACTACTACTTTTCTTTTTCTTTTTTGAAAAAAAATCATTCCTTTCCCTTTTGAGGTTCTTTAGGATTAACAAATGTTTATAGTAGTAAAGCTACTAATTTGATGTTCTAAATCTAGCAAAAACTGATTTTTATGCTGTATTTATTGCTTAAAATGAGCAAATTCTGTAAGTTGATAAACCTAGATGAAGCAAACTGAAAAAGGGTATTTGATATTATAGATAATCCTAGTTCTTGGTGAGCTCAAAATGCAATTCTCTCTAAAAAAAATTTGGTTTGATGTTGCAATTGTTGTATGCTAGGGTTTGCTAATTCTAATTTGATGTTTTCAAATCTTGCGAAAATCTGGTGAAAACAGCTTCTTAAGCTTATTTTATGATATAAAATGATGAGTGGAAGTTCGAAAAGGTGAAAACACACCTGAAGTATCCTTTTTTTGAGTGTCATACATGTACTAGTAGTTGTTCTTTTTTCTACTTGAAAGAAGGTGATATTTGCGGTAGGAAAAGGGAACAACCACGTTGAAAAAGTGAACACTTGATCGTTCAGGTAGGAAACTTGCAAAAATGTGATACTTTTAGGTGTGTTTTTTGACTGTTAAATCTTAAAATGACCATATTTTATTGTTTGTATGATAGTTGATGGTAACTTAGAAGTAGCAAACAGCTTTGGAATCCACAAATGTATTTTATGAAGTATTGATAGTAAGTGCTCTGGCTTTAAGAATGATATTAGTGGACAGTAAGCAATGTTTCATATCCACTATGGGTGTGTGACGTGTGTTTTTTTTTTCTACTAACTTTTCGTGTTCTTTTAAAGAATCTGCACCAAATATCCTCGCCGTTATCATATCCATTCTATTTCGATATGGGTATATCAAGACAAATTAATTAGCTGTCCATATAACAGTGATAGTAATAGGAGATGATTGACTGATTTCAACTAGAATGCACCTTTATTTCTTATATATATGATGTGGAGATTTTGTCAGTTTGCCCATATATATATAATATATATTGATTTGACAGTGTGAATACAGTTGTGTCCTGATAGTTTAGAGATTTTGTCAGTTTGCCCATATAATTTGGAGATGACTTCGTAATATTGCTTATTTTCTACAGCTTCTTGGTGATTATTGTTATATGATGCTTCCTATGGGAAGAGAACATTGTCAAAGTTTACCTCCTGACATCCTTAGCGACCTTCATGATAATGTTATCGATGTCATTCTGATGTGTTTGCCTTGTAAAGATGCTGTGAGGACAAGTGTCTCACAAGTGTCTTATCAAGGAAATGGAAGTATCACTGGTGTAGACTTGCAAAGTGGAAGTTTGATGAATCTCTTTGGAGCACACAAAAGGATAAGCTTTACCCTACAGTTAAATTTAGAAAGACAGTCTACCAGCTTTTGACCCATCATGAAGGACCCATTACTAAGTTTAAGCTCGACATTACTTACCTGAAAGAATGTCCTAAGATTGACAACTTCTTATATTTCCTATCTAGGAAAGACATTCAACATCTTGTTCTTCACCTTCCACAGAAAAAAGATGAACTATACAAATTGCCTTCTTCAATTTTCATATGTTCGCAGCTGAGGCATTTAAATATTCATTATTGCTCAATACATCATCATCCATCGGCCTGTGAAGGATTTGATAGTTTAGTCAGCCTGGAACTATGTAGAGTTATGATTTCTTCTGAATTGCTTGGACATTTAATAGCTCATTGCCCGTTGCTTGAGAAGTTGGTGCTGAAAATTGCGAAAACATTAAACGTAACTGAAATTAATGCCCCAATGTTGAGATCCTTTGAGTTCACAGGCAGTGTAAGTTCTATCTGTTTAAAGAATGTCCCTCTTCTGGCAAAAGTTTCTCTGATATGTGAAAATTCTTCTATGGAGGCAGAGAAGTTTGATTATGCAAAGTTTTTCCAGTCTTGTTCTGCTCTTGAGCACCTCTTCTTGAACTTCCGTTATGGCCAGGTAGATGTTGCTTCATGACTTCATTGTTTGTACTTTCGCATATGGAACTTCTTTTCGGATAAGTCATGTTGAACTTTGGTATATTTTTTCCTAGTTCTTTGCAGATGAGGCACCAACAAGGCTTCCCTTTTATCTGAACCGTGCCAAACATCTTCACTTGTCTCATGTTGAGCTGAAGGAATCATATACTCGCTCATGTGCTCTCTGCTTGATACGAAGCTTCCCACATTTAGAATATCTCAAAATTGAGGTTTTTAATACGCGGCTGGTGTTCTTTTCTTTCTCTCTTTCGTTCCTTTTTACTGTTTTTTCTTCATACTTATTAGATCCTCAATAATCTGATAATTGACTTCTCGTTATCTTTTTAGGTTTACAATGAAGCTGATAGTGGTATTCAAGAATCCCTTGAACTCGAACGTTTCTCAGATGTCACATTTAATCACCTCAGGGAAGTTGAGATAACAAGCTTTAGAGGAACAACGCTTGAGATGCAGCTTATCAAGATTTTGTTAGCCAAGTCTCCAGTATTGGTGAAAATGTACATCGATCCAGCAATTCTTATTGACACAGGATCAGAAATTCTTGCTGAGCTAGTAAATTTTCAGCGTGCATCACCCGAAGCTGAAATAGACGTTGAATATTATGGAAAGTTAGAACTGAATAGGGTAGAAACAAATGTCGATGGAGTTGTTTAACACTGTGTTTTACCTTGTCGTAGTAAGGTAAAGAGACGTGCGAAAACCTGTTTTGGAACATTTAGCATTTCTGGAAGGATGCTTTGGTTAGTTTGTTCTGTAATAACACTAGTCATTACATGTTTAAGGATTTTTATATTTAGTGCCTGCTTATGGAATTTTGCACACACTAGAGCTGTGTTTTGCCTTTCCTTGACGTCTATTCCAGAACATGAGCATTCCTAGATGGATATTTTGATTATTTTGTTTTGTAACAATATTTCCATTACATTTTGCTCATGAATGATTTATCGAATGTGATACACAGGAAGTACTTTTCAACACTAATTTTTTTTATGTGGTGATGTCCGGGCCTCTCTACCTTCCCGAGGTAGAGGTAAGGTAAGCGTGAACTCTACCCTCCTCGAGGTAGGGATAAGGTTTGCGTAAACTCTATCCTCTTTAAACTCTATCTGTGAGGGATTACACTAGGTTTGTTGTTATTGTGAGTCTTAATAGTTTGTCCATTACATATTTGTTGTTGTTGCGAGTCTTAATAGTTTGTCCATTACATAGCACATATGCAGCATTCTTTTTCCACAAATTTCACATTAGAAGTTGAAAAAAGAAGAAGAGCTGTCTAAGGTATAGAGGTATTCCAAATGCTATATCTTTGAAAAAAATAGTGTGGGCTCTGTTCTAAGCGGATAATATCACATCATGTTAATAATATATTTGGGCTGATTTAATATGATAAATAAACAATATCATAGTTGATAGTTCGGCTAAATGAGTATGGAAATGACCGAGGGTAGCTCTCGAATCGAGAAACAAGTGTAGCAAAGTGATGATATTCAGCGACAAGATTTGAAGTTTATAACTAATATTCAATGAATTTTGTTACATATATGGAGTTTCAATCAAAATCACTGATTTTTTTTTAACGATAACTCTATGTTCAAAATGTAAAACTTAAGGAGATGATCTGGGTAAACCCCCTTTTTTGGTGAGGTAAGGCACCTCCCACTTTCTGCTAGAGCAAAAATGAAAGAAATCGTGTATGTAATCCGCCCTCAAAGAGAGCTCAGCTCAAGAGGACTCAATTTTTGA